TATCTGCATGCAGACACAGCTCAGCAGGAAATCAGTCACTGTATGATAATTCATTTGCAGTCATAGGCCGAAAATTGTGCTCACTCAGTTCATCCTATCTCTTCCGGATACTCCGCCCAACAGGGGCTACCCTCCTCAGAACTCAAACTCGCTGCTTTGTTGGAGGAATGACAGAGAGATCTCCTCTCTGTGGGGTGGACAAACAATGTGATGGCCCTGTTAAAGCTTTAAAAATCTCAACATAGGTGACATAGGTAGGCATTTTAATTGCGATAGTGTCCCGGCCGTAGCCCGTAGGCACGGGTTACACTAGTACACATGTATTGAGATATTCTTGTTGTACGTGTTATCTACGTGATTTTGTTTGATATGACAGGTTACATTTGACAGATATAGAAAATGGTGGAGTGCATCTAGATTTATTTAGAAAAAGAGTTCAATTTTTCATAAAGAGCAAAATATAAAAGCATACCCGCTGCATGTATGGAACTGATTTCTGTGTCCAGAATATTTCTGAGGGCTGCAACAGCGTGGGAGTAAAGACGCCCTGTAACTTTCATCCTAAAACAAGAATCTGGAAGATAAGTAAAACATTAGTCATGAATGATCAAAGATAGAATTATTACTTAAATATCGTCGGATCTAAAAAATTATAATAAAAACTCACGTGCCTGCTATGCTGAAACTTTACGTAAAACACTAACGCGCGCTCCATTTTATACACAAAATGTTCCAGGAATTTTGAACTTCCAAACAAGGCCAGCACAATTTAAAGGTGTTAAGTTGACAGCGTCCATTACAAACAAAAGAACAAGAACGCTGGATAGTATTATAGCATGTAGTTGATTCCGTTTCTTGACCTCATAAGCAATGAAAATGTGACGCAAGTTGTACGGTCAAAGAGTTGATTATAAATCATAAATTTACTTACTTTATAAATCATAAAATGTAAGTCTAACAAAATACGTAAAACATGTACACAAAAATATCTATTTCCGGTAAAAATTAAAATACAAAGCGGGTAAAATGTGTCAAATGAAAATAAAATATCTTTTAAACGTGTTTCTCATCTTAAAACATACGGTTAGATAGTATTTTAATCAAAAAACATTTTGGAAACAAACAAAATAAGATCAGTTCAATATGTTGCTGGTTCATGAATTAGTGAAATTATAAACTTTAAGTGGTCCTTCCCAAAAGGTATCGAGAAACAGTTTCTATCGCATCAAACATACATGAATTTAATTCTATAATCATTTGTGGAAATGAACGAGAATTTAAAAATTAAACATAGTCGGATCAGTGAATCGTCTCCCCAAACAAGGTCGAAGAGTTCGCAGTAAGTAGTCACCTAGCAACACGTGACCTAGCAACACGTGACCTAGCAACACATGACAAGGTCGGAGAGTTCGCAGTAAGTAGTCACCTAGCAACACGTGACCTAGCAACACATGACAAGGTCGGAGAGTTCGCAGTAAGTAGTCACCTAGCAACACGTGACCTAGCAACACGTGACCTAGCAACACATGACAAGGTCGGAGAGTTCGCAGTAAGTAGTCACCTAGCAACACGTGACCTAGCAACACGTGATCTAGCAACACGTGATCTAGCAACACGTGACCTAGCAACACGTGACAAGGTCGGAGAGAGTAAGTATAAGTTTAGTTAGGATCTTAGAGTGAGGTGTTATGAACTTTTACTGCCGGTACTAGAGATAGAGCTTAGTCGGGGAATGTCAGCGTAGAATTCAATGTAAATACCCTTCACAGCTTGGTGGATCTCATCAAAGGAGGGCCGTCCTTTTGGCTCATACTTCCAACAGCTAAACATTATCTGAAACATTAAGATAAACAGCTAAACATTATCTGAAACATTGAGGAGTATATTTTATAACCAGTACTATTGAACCAAGCTGTAAATCACAAGGGATCGGTAAAGCTGGATAACGGAGAGCTGTATAACTTGTTAACATCAGACACTGTGCCGTTACCATGGTTACACCACACTGTGCCGTTACCATGGTTACACCACACTGTGCCGTTACCATGGTTACACCACACTGTGTTGTGTACACGTATAATACAACTAACTATGAAATCATTGTTGTTGTTGTTTTTTGCAGGAACGACACTAACTCCTTAAAATATATTCCAATCAAATTATATTGTACATTACCATCAATGTTTTTAAAACACTACCTTATAGTCATAATATCTGGGGGTTCAAGTTACCTGGTATATGTTCGGAGGTGTGTCTCTAGACTTAGTATCAGTTACCTGGTATATGTTCGGAGGTGTGTCTCTAGATTTAGTATCAGTTACCTGGTATATGTTCGGAGGTGTGTCTCTAGACTTAGTATCAGTTACCTGGTATATGTTCGGAGGTGTGTCTCTAGACTTAGTATCAGTTACCTGGTATATGTTCGGAGGTGTGTCTCTAGACTTAGTATCAGTTACCTGGTATATGTTCGGAGGTGTGTCTCTAGATTTAGTATCAGTTACCTGGTATATGTTCGGAGGTGTGTCTCTAGACTTAGTATCAGTTACCTGGTATATGTTCGGAGGTGTGTCTCTAGACTTAGTATCAGTTACCTGGTATATGTTCGGAGGTGTGTCTCTAGACTTAGTATCAGTTACCTGGTATATGTTCGGAGGTGTGTCTCTAGACTTAGTATCAGTTACCTGGTATATGTTCGGAGGTGTGTCTCTAGACTTAGTATCAGTTACCTGGTATATGTTCGGAGGTGTGTCTCTAGACTTAGTATCAGTTACCTGGTATATGTTCGGAGGTGTGTCTCTAGACTTAGTATCAGTTACCTGGTATATGTTCGGAGGTGTGTCTCTAGATTTAGTATCAGTTACCTGGTATATGTTCGGAGGTGTGTCTCTAGACTTAGTATCAGTTACCTGGTATATGTTCGGAGGTGTGTCTCTAGACTTAGTATCAGTTACCTGGTATATGTTCGGAGGTGTGTCTCTAGACTTAGTATCAGTTACCTGGTATATGTTCGGAGGTGTGTCTCTAGACTTAGTATCAGTTACCTGGTATATGTTCGGAGGTGTGTCTCTAGACTTAGTATCAGTTACCTGGTATATGTTCGGAGGTGTGTCTCTAGATTTAGGAAGTCTATATCCTGCATCTATCTGGTCCTTAACATCTCTGTTACTCATATCGTTATACGGATATCCACCTGTAGATAAACTGCTGTAAGTAGACTGTAAAGATTACGAGCAGTTCGAGACTTGCCTGTGTGATATTTATACATAAAGGGGATTGTAAACTGAAGATTACGGGTAGCTTGTGCCACAAATCCCAGAGCGCGATAAGGACTTCTATAGTTCTATACAATGTCCTTCGGTCGGCTCAGCCGAATGATCGGGAAATCAGTAATTGAGAGTTAAATGAGGAAGGAAATCAGTAATTGAGAGTTAAATGAGGAGGGAAATCAGTAATTGAGAGTTAAATGAGGAGGGAAATCAGTAATTGAGAGTTAAATGAGGAAGGAAATCAGTAATTGAGAGTTAATGAGGAAGGAAATCAGTAATTGAGAGTTAAATGAGGAGGGAAATCAGTAATTGAGAGTTAAATGAGGAAGGAAATCAGTAATTGAGAGTTAATGAGGAGGGAAATCAGTAATTGAGAGTTAATGAGGAAGGAAATCAGTAATTGAGAGTTAAATGAGGAGGGAAATCAGTAATTGAGAGTTAAATGAGGAAGGAAATCAGTAATTGAGAGTTAATGAGGAGGGAAATCAGTAATTGAGAGTTAATGAGGAGGGACGCTGCCAACTATCTGGATTAGGAGCACCAATCATTACACTAATGTTAGTGTACTGTAAACCTGTAGTACTAAAGACATTAGCAGCACGGGTGGTTAAGTGGAAGACACAGAAAACTAAGCTTTACTGGACTATTTACTGCATATAATACAATAACATTTTAATCTTTGGCCATTTTAAAGCACTAATCGGTATTTAAACTCATTACTCAATGCTTAATGCTTATGTTCATTTTCTGTTTTCTTTTATCAATTTCGTAGCAATGATCCTCTACATCAAGATAATAATTATAATGGTATGTGGCTTTACTTTTACTGTTATGACAACAAATTCGCCAATTCCTCAACATGCCGTCACATGGTTTCCTGCTCCTACTCCTGCTGTTCCTAAATCTCCTGCTGTTCCTAAATCTCCTCCTGTTCCTAAATCTCCTCCTACTCCTACTCCTCCTGCTCCTACTCCTCCTGCTCCTACTCCTCCTTCTTCTCCTACTTCTCCTGATCATAATAAACCCCAGCATTATATAACCCAAAATTATATAACCCAGAATTATATAACCCAGAATTATATAACACGTAATAATGATGCCTACACAACCGAGTTCAAGAACTCGGGAAAATATTACCCATCAACTGATTACCCATCAACTGGTGACGCAGAGTTTACTACGATGATCCCACCTAAAATGCTCACAAAAGAGCGGGATACAAAGTCTAATGCTACAGTTGGCTGTGAGGAAGCTAAAAGTATGCTGCTAAATCTAATTGCTAGTTGTAACAGCACCCTGGCAGCACTGGGACTCATCTCGAACCTTATTATCGTATTATACTACAAGAACAACCAAACCAATCTCCCATCTGCTCTTTACTTCCGGAACGGACTTTGTGATATCATCAGTGCTATCGGATTCTTGCTTCAAGTCCCTTCTGTTGTTTCTATCATGAACAAAGCTACCCCGATAAGCCTGCCTCTTCTCAGTTACTTGATAACAACAGTTTCTGTTAGGATGAGTGTCTTCATGAACTGTGTGCTGGGTGTGGTCAGATGTATCAACATTCTCAACCCTTTCTACCGGGTGAACAGAAAGAAAGTCACACTCTCTACCTCCGTCTACTTAGTTGTCTGGACTGCAATAGCTACCCTTGATGTCTGATTTTACTCAACAAAGGTTGGACTTACAAGTAAAGTCTACCTGATTAAATCTATGATTCTGAAAGCTGAACCAGGATTTTCCATTACCAGCCTCACCGGATCTAAAGGAGCAGTGCTGACCTCACTTTCCCAAGGAGAAATTGTCTTGGTGCAGTTCCTTACACCCATAGTTATTCCAGCTCTGCTATACTTATGATAGTCCAGATAGTTCATCTGAATAAAATGCAAATTGTGCGTAGACCTGAACAAAATCCAGCAGCCACGGATAAAGATGTTTCAGGGAAAATAAAAAGCAAGAAAAGAGGAAAGCAGAGTAGCAATGAGAAGGCAGCCACCACGATCCTGATTGTTACCACGATATTTGTGCTGACCTCAATCGTCTCTGTTGCTGCGTGGCTGGTGGTCTACAGAGACCACCTTGGAGGGGGAGACAAGATAAAGAAACTCTCCCTAGTAGAACTGGGTATCATCTACTTCTCTGCTTCTACTCTTCCTCTACTCTGCTCTACGCTCACTCCTCTTACTCTACTCATTAGAAGTAATGTCATGCAGCTCTATCTACGGAATGCCTCGAGGAAGCAGTCGAGAACAGTTTCGCTCAGCAGAACTGAAACAGTTGAACTCCAAGGAATTTCCAACTGCAGACGTTGAAGACAACTGACAATACTGCCTTTCAAGTAAAAGACAGACTCGAACATTTAAACACACTTAGCTGCAACAGAAATTTTAACTATTCGAGAAATCTGGTGGATTCGTGTAGTGTTTTTGAGTCTCATGATTTGATAGTTCTTTTATTCAAATTTCTGATTGTTTCTGAATAGACTCAGTGAAGACAGATTCTAATGGAAATAAATAGCTGAATAACGTATCGACATTTCTACGTCATACTCATATTCTGAAATAGTATTAATTCAATTATAACGATCAATATTCACATTAAAAATTTGACGACGAAATTTATTTCAAACAAAATATATAACTGTAAAATAGTTATCAACCGTAAATAGTTTTTAACGAAATCGGAGCAAATATGAACATAAAACTGACAACATACCGAGAACTATGGTGGGGAAACATACAGACCGATCAAGTGCAGGTTCGACGAGCATTACCGTAGTGCGGCAAATCCAACAGCAAAATCTTACGAAGATAAGCCACTAGCAAAGCACTACAGGGAAAGTCACCCTCAACACAAAGGCCCCCCAAAACTTAAACTTCAAATCGTAGATAGAGGAACATCACTCATCAACAGAAAGATTAAAGAAGCCCGATTTTTAGTTGAAAATAAACCAACACTCAACGATAAAACAGAGTTGAACAATCTAACACAGTTTTTAGTTGAGTGACGTGTAAATAGTAATATTCTCGTTTAATTCTTTTATCTCTTTTAATCTTTTATCTCCTGTATAACGTCACGCTATTCGTTAATTTTCAGATGAGCCCTATTTGATAAATGTTGTCAGTTTTATGTTCATATTTGCTCCGATTTCGTTAAAAACTATTTACGGTTGATAACTATTTTACAGTTATATATTTTGTTTGAAATAAATTTCGTCGTCAAATTTTTAATGTGAATATTGATCGTTATAATTGAATTAATACTATTTCAGAATATGAGTATGACGTAGAAATGTCGATACGTTATTCAGCTATTTATTTCCATTAGAATCTGTCTTCACTGAGTCTATTCAGAAACAATCAGAAATTTGAATAAAAGAACTATTCGAGAAATGTAGTAAAGTAGTAATAAGTTTTTCATGTATAATTTTAAGTTGATTAGTTGTAGACGGTCATTGTTAACAGCTTTTTTTTCTCTTAGCAATTTATAAGTAGGACTCGCTACAGAGGGGCTCCTATATTACCGGGGGGGGGGGGGGGGGGGGGGGGGGGGGAGCTACATTACCTTTGTTGAAGATTTCCCACATGAGTATCCCATAACTCCAGATATCTGACTTAAACGTGTACGTCCTGAACATCAAGCATTCTGGAGCTGTCCATCTTATCGGGATCTGAATAATCACATAATTAACCTGATTATACACATAATTAACCTGGTTATACACTTAATTAACCTGATTATACACATAATTAACCTGATTATACACTTAATTAACTTGAATATTCACATAATTAACCTGAATAATCACATAATTAACCTGATTATACACATAATTAACCTGGATATTCATATAATTAACCTGAATATTCACATAATTAACCTGAATATTCACATAATTAACCTGATTATACACTTAATTAACCTGAATACATGAGTAATACTGTAATTATAATTTCGCTTCAGAATAAGTAATATGAAATTCAGAGTTACGTTATTTGAAGGATTTGGTTATTATATAATATGTTCAGCTAACAAGTTAAACACTTTGCAAATGTTACTATCAATTATTATACAGTACATGTTTCTAATATGTTGCTATAGCAAGCAATATGTTACTATAGCAACCAATATGTTAGCAACAGTACCTGTTTCATCTTGCTGATGTAGATGCTATTCTCCCCCTGGTATCTGGACATGCCAAAGTCTGATATCTTCAGTAACGTGTGGTTGTGAACTAAACAGTTCCTCGCAGCTAGATCACGGTGGATATAGTTCTGAGTATGTAGGTAGAGCATACCGGCCGCTGCTTGCTCGCAGTAGTGGACTAGTTGCTGAAATTAATAATTAACCTGATTATACACTTAATTAACCTGATTATACACATAATTAACCTGATTATACACATAATTAATCAAGTGGTCTTCATCCAGTTAACCTTTTCTCATAAATCTGCAAAGTTACAAGTCTAAACTAGATAAAACATGGAAAATTAGATGCCCCCTCCCCTCTCCCTCTGTAAATAATTCTAATCTTTATAGATTGCAGTGGTCCCTCCCCCCTGTAAATAATTCTAACCTTTATAGATTGCAGTGCCCCCTCCCCTCTCCCTCTGTAAATAATTCTAACCTTTATAGATTGCAGTGGTCCCTTCCCTCTCCCTCTGTAAATAATTCTAACCTTTATAGATTGCAGTGGTCCCCCCTCTCCCTCTGTCAATAATTCTAACCTTTATAGATTGCAGTGGTCCCTCCCCTCTCCCTCTGTAAATAATTCGGACCTTTATAGATTGCAGTGCCCTCTCCCCTCTCTCTCTCTGTAAATAATTCTAACCTTTATAGATTGCAGTGCCCCCTCCCCTCTCCCTCTGTAAATAATTCTAACCTTTATAGATTGCAGTGGTCCCTCCCCTCTCCCTCTGTAAATAATTCTAACCTTTATAGATTGCAGTGCTCCCTCCCCTCTCCCTCTGTAAATAATTCTAACCATTATAGATTGCAGTGCCCCTCCCCTCTCCCTCTGTAAATAATTCTAACCTTTATAGATTGCAGTGGTCCCTCCCCTCTCCCTCTGTAAATAATTCTAACCTTTATAGATTGCAGTGGTCCCTCCCCTCTCCCTCTGTAAATAATTCTAACCTTTATAGATTGCAGTGGTCCCTCTCCCTCTGTAAATAATTCTAACCTTTATAGATTGCAGTGGTCCCTCCCCTCTCCCTCTGTAAATAATTCTAACCTTTATAGATTGCAGTGGTCCCTCCCCTCTCCCTCTGTAAATAATTCTAACCTTTATAGATTGCAGTGGTCCCTCCCCTCTCCCTCTGTAAATAATTCTAACCTTTATAGATTGCAGTGGTCCCCTCCCCTCTCCCTCTGTAAATAATTCTAACCTTTATAGATTGCAGTGGTCCCTCCCCTCTCCCTCTGTAATAATTCTAACCTTTATAGATTGCAGTGGTCCCTCCCCTCTCCCTCTGTAAATAATTCTAACCTTTATAGATTGCAGTGGCCCCTCCCCTCTCCCTCTGTAAATAATTCTAACCTTTATAGATTGCAGTGGTCCCTCCCCTCTCCCTCTGTAAATAATTCTAACCTTTATAGATTGCAGTGGTCCCTCCCCTCTCCCTCTGTAAATAATTCTAACCTTTATAGATTGCAGTGGTCCCTCCCCTCTCCCTCTGTATATAATTCTAACCTTTATAGATTGCAGTGGTCCCCCCTCTCCCTCTGTAAATAATTCTAACCTTTATAGATTGCAGTGGTCCCTCCCCTCTCCCTCTGTATATAATTCTAACCTTTATAGATTGCAGTGGTCCCTCCCCTCTCCCTCTGTAAATAATTCTAACCTTTATAGATTGCAGTGGTCCCTCCCCTCTCCCTCTGTATATAATTCTAACCTTTATAGATTGCAGTGGTCCCTCCCCTCTCCCTCTGTAAATAATTCTAACCTTTATAGATTGCAGTGCCCCTCCCCTCTCCCTCTGTAAATAATTCTAACCTTTATAGATTGCAGTGGTCCCTCCCCTCTCCCTCTGTAAATAATTCTAACCTTTATAGATTGCAGTGCCCCCTCCCCTCTCCCTCTGTAAATAATTCTAACCTTTATAGATTGCAGTGGTCCCTCCCCTCTCCCTCTGTAAATAATTCTAACCTTTATAGATTGCAGTGCCCCTCCCCTCTCCCTCTGTAAATAATTCTAACCTTTATAGATTGCAGTGGTCCCTCCCCTCTCCCTCTGTATATAATTCTAACCTTTATAGATTGCAGTGGTCCCCCCTCTCCCTCTGTAAATAATTCTAACCTTTATAGATTGCAGTGGTCCCTCCCCTCTCCCTCTGTATATAATTCTAACCTTTATAGATTGCAGTGGTCCCTCCCCTCTCCCTCTGTAAATAATTCTAACCTTTATAGATTGCAGTGGTCCCTCCCCTCTCCCTCTGTATATAATTCTAACCTTTATAGATTGCAGTGGTCCCTCCCCTCTCCCTCTGTAAATAATTCTAACCTTTATAGATTGCAGTGGTCCCTCCCCTCCTGTAAATAATTCTAACCTTTATAGATTGCAGTGGTCCCTCCCCTCTCCCTCTGTATATAATTCTAACCTTTATAGATTGCAGTGGTCCCTCCCCTCTCCCTCTGTAAATAATTCTAACCTTTATAGATTGCAGTGGTCCCTCCCCTCTCCCTCTGTATATAATTCTAACCTTTATAGATTGCAGTGGTCCCTCCCCTCTCCCTCTGTAAATAATTCTAACCTTTATAGATTGCAGTGCCCCCTCCCCTCTCCCTCTGTAAATAATTCTAACCTTTATAGATTGCAGTGGTCCCTCCCCTCTCCCTCTGTAAATAATTCTAACCTTTATAGATTGCAGTGGTCCCTCCCCTCTCCCTCTGTAAATAATTCTAACCTTTATAGATTGCAGTGGTCCCTCCCCTCTCCCTCTGTAAATAATTCTAACCTTTATAGATTGCAGTGCCCCTCCCCTCTCCCTCTGTAAATAATTCTAACCTTTATAGATTGCAGTGGTCCCTCTTGCAAGATGGAGAGCAAACTTCCATTGTTCATGAACTCCATGACAATATAGTACGGCATCTCGTCACAACAAATACCTGAGGTTGTTGGGTAAGTACGGCATCTCGTCATAACAAATACCTGAGGTTGTTGGATTAATACGGCATCTCGTCACAGCAAATACCTGAGGTTGTTGGGTTAGTACGGCATCTCGTCACAACAAATACCTGAGGTTGTTGGGTTAGTACGGCATCTCGTCACAACAAATACCTGAGGTTGTTGGGTTAGTACGGCATCTCGTCACAACAAATACCTGAGGTTGCTGGGTTAGTACGGCATCTCGTTACAACAAATACCTGAGGTTGTTGGGTTAGTACGGCATCTCGTCACAACAAATACCTGAGGTTGTTGGGTTAGTACGGCATCTCGTCACAACAAATACCTGAGGTTGTTGGGTTAGTACGGCATCTCGTCACAACAAATACCTGAGGTTGCTGGGTTAGTACGGCATCTCGTCACAACAAGTACCTGAGGTTGTTGGGTTAGTACGGCATCTCGTCGCAACAAATACATTAGGTTGTTGGGTTAGTACGGCATCTCGTCATAACAAATACCTGAGGTTGTTGGATTAATACGGCATCTCGTCACAGCAAATACCTGAGGTTGTTGGGTTAGTACGGCATCTCGTCACAACAAATACCTGAGGTTGTTGGGTTAGTACGGCATCTCGTCACAACAAATACCTGAGGTTGTTGGGTTATTACGGCATCTCGTCACAACAAATACCTGAGGTTGCTGGGTTAGTACGGCATCTCGTCACAACAAATACCTGAGGTTGTTGGGTTAGTACGGCATCTCGTCACAACAAATACCTGAGGTTGTTGGGTTAGTACGGCATCTCGTCACAACAAATACCTGAGGTTGTTGGGTTAGTACGGCATCTCGTCACAACAAATACCTGAGGTTGCTGGGTTAGTACGGCATCTCGTCACAACAAGTACCTGAGGTTGTTGGGTTAGTACGGCATCTCGTCGCAACAAATACATTAGGTTGTTGGGTTAGTACGGCATACATGTAGTTTTTAGGTGGTTTTAAGGTGGCTGTTTTTTTAACAAACTAATGAGCTAATTAACCAAGAACTTCTTACCCAACAATTTAACTACATTCTTGTGTTTGAACTTCTTACCCAACAATTTAACTACATTCTTGTGTTTGAACTTCTTACCCAACAATTTAACTACATTCTTGTGTTTGAACTTCTTACCCAACAATTTAACTACATTCTTGTGTTTGAACTTCTTATCCAACAGTTTAACTACATTCTTGTGTTTGAACTTCTTACCCAACAATTTAACTACATTCTTGTGTTTGAACTTCTTACCCAACAATTTAACTACATTCTTGTGTTTGAACTTCTTACCCGACAGTTTAACTACATTCTTGTGTTTGAACTTCTTACCCAACAGTTTAACTACATTCTTGTGTTTGAACTTCTTACCCGACAGTTTAACTACATTCTTGTGTTTGAACTTCTTACCCGACAGTTTAACTACATTCTTGTGTTTGAACTTCTTACCCAACAATTTAAGTACATTCTTGTGTTTGAACTTCTTACCCAACAATTTAACTACATTCTTGTGTTTGAACTTCTTACCCAACAATTTAACTACATTCTTGTGTTTGAACTTCTTACCCAACAATTTAACTACATTCTTGTGTTTGAACTTCTTACCCAACAATTTAACTTCATTCTTGTGTTTGAACTTCTTACCCAACAATTTAACTACATTCTTGTGTTTGAACTTCTTACCCAACAATTTAACTACATTCTTGTGTTTGAACTTCTTACCCAACAATTTAACTACATTCTTGTGTTTGAACTTCTTACCCAACAGTTTAACTACATTCTTGTGTTTGAACTTCTTACCCAACAATTTAACTACATTCTTGTGTTTGAACTTCTTACCCAACAATTTAACTACATTCTTGTGTTTGAACTTCTTGCCCAACAGTTTAACTACATTCTTGTGTTTGAACTTCTTACCCAACAGTTTAACTACATTTTTGTGTTTGAACTTCTTACCCAACAGTTTAACTACATTCTTGTGTTTGAACTTCTTACCCAACAATTTAACTACATTCTTGTGTTTGAACTTCTTACCCAACAATTTAACTACATTCTTGTGTTTGAACTTCTTACCCAACAATTTAACTACATTCTTGTGTTTGAACTTCTTACCCAACAATTTAACTACATTCTTGTGTTTGAACTTCTTACCCAACAATTTAACTACATTCTTGTGTTTGAACTTCTTACCCAACAATTTAAGTACATTCTTGTGTTTGAACTTCTTACCCAACAATTTAAGTACATTCTTGTGTTTGAACTTCTTACCCAACAATTTAACTACATTCTTGTGTTTGAACTTCTTACCCAACAATTTAACTACATTCTTGTGTTTGAACTTCTTGAGAGTATCTGCCTCCTCAAGGAATTTGTCTCTGAAAGAATCTGGATCTCGGCAAGTTTTTACCGCTACTTCACGTGAATTAGTCAGCAGTTGAGCTTGATACACGTCTCCAAAATTACCTGTTAGAGAGAAGTATAAGTAACTTTGAACGAATTAAATAATTAACTAATTAATTAAGAGATTAATTAACCAATGTTAGGACATATCTTAAGAGGACAGGAAGACTCACCAGCATACACCTCTATGTTATTTGCTATAAATTCTGATATTTTTATGGAAGGGAGACGGGGTAGACCATGTTTAAACTTATTAGATGTTATTAGAAAAGACTTGACTAGTAGAAATCTTGATATTAGACTTAAGAATTTGACTGATTTCGAAGACCTTAGATTTTTGGCTTTAGATAGGGAGGAATGGAAGAAGTTAGAAGATGGTTGATGTTTTTGTTTTCTTTTTTATGCGTTTTGATATCTATAAGGTGCCTAGGATGCTCTTTTAAAGAGATATTTCGTACTTTGAAAGATTTACTACTGAATTAACCAATTAATTAAGAGTTTAATTAACTAATTAATTAAGAGATTAATTAACTAATTAATTAAGAGAATACTACGAGCTGACTGATGGAAATCGCTCACTTAATACAATATTGAAATATAGGAATTGATAGCATGCGGCAACTTCAAGTAACAATATGTGAATATGTGTGTACTTTGTCGGAAAATGCATTACTTGATGCCATTAATTAAGTGTGCATGAATTTAATATGATATGATATTTTTAATGTTTATACGTATAACGTATGCATAAATATATACAAAATCTTGTGGTATTTATGCAATCGAAGCAAAATTCACATACTGTACAGCACTGGCATGCACATTGCACAATAGCGGTATTGAAAGCAGATAAAACATCAAACACAATGAAATATTAATTTGGTATAGACAGACATTTTGCAATATTTGTGAGATAATAACAATATTACTGTGTTTTGCTATAAGACGGTTAATGCACTGCAATTCTCCGGATATTTTAACCATTTTCAGAGACCTAATTACTGTTAATTAATTAATTAACTAACTAATTAACTAATTAATTAACTAATTAAAGTCGAGCCAGGGATTGTGATACTGTATATAATTACAATGCTTTAGGCATTAGAGCCTGTAAAAACATTTAACTACTGTATACACCTACTACTCCCGACTCTCAAACAGCGTGCAAAGGACGGTCAGCGATGTAAACCGATCGCAACTACCATTCATAACACACATAACGCCAACAAGCACACGAATTATATTTAAACTTATCCCTCGGCGCGCGGAATAAATGGATAGCAGTCCAGAGTGCGTTATACGTGAGGCGTGTTGTGTTATAAACTCCTCCGGGATACTGCTACTTTGGGATCAGTATTAAAAGTAGATGCGGAGAAGTAAGAGACGAACATTACTAAATAAATAAATAAAATTACTTTGACGGTTGAAGTTTATCAAAGTAGCGGCTCACATCAAACTGGGCACTCGCATCGACAAAAGTTACCGGACAAATGTAACCGTGAAGACAGATTCTAGAACAGGTCCAAGAAACTCGATAATAAGCAGTGTGCTGGAACTTAGCCAGATAATAAGCAGTGTGCTGGAACTTAGCCAGATAATAAGCAGTGTGCTGGAACTTAGCCAGATAATAAGCAGTGTGCTGGAACTTAGCCAGATAATAAGCAGTGTGCTGAAACTTTGCCAGATAATAAGCAGTGTGTTGGAACTTTGCTGGAACTTTGCCAGCGTATTACAGTAATTATAATAGGTCATGTCCCTTAACAATATCACAGAGGAGTTTATAGAGTGGTTGAATAACATATTATATATTGGAAATATTTATCCATCTCAATATAGTTTAAATTTACTCAGCATGCACTCCATATCCCATGACAAGTGTTCGATGCAATTGCTCACCAACTAATATAGTAATATGTCGGAGGTTCTAGCGGAAAATTCAAGTGATTGTAAAAAGACATGTAAATTATAATGACATAGATTTGAGAGGGGGATTAAATAGCTTGACAATAAATATTTATTTTAAAATAATTAACATTTAGTGCAACACGGATTAGCATACCATTTTGTGTTACGTACGTTTAAACGTTAAACTTTTAAATTGAGAAAGTGAAGTTATGGTTAGGGGTAAAAATCACGAGTTTTTTACCCACGTGACTGTTTTTGCCCACGTGACCCACCTTTGCCCACGTGACTCACCTTTGCCCACGTGACCCACCTTTGCCCACGTGACCCACCTCTACCCACGTGATCCACCTCTACCCACGTGACTGACCTTTGCCCACGTGACTGACCTTTGCCGAGGAACTGTTTGAGTCGAATGTCTCTGTGGTGCAAGTTCCACCTGTCTCTGAGCACTGCTATCCTTATTCCTACGTTCATCTTATTCGTTATCGGCTTACCTGTATTAAGGGGTTACAGCCAACAGTGTTAACTAGGTATCTTGTTGACAGTGTTACTTGAAATTATGGACACCTAATTATGGTGAAATAGACACCATCTTATTTGTCCTGATCAGAAACCAGGAGGGCCAAAACGGTTTACTGTTTTAGACTGACGCCTCTATTTTTTAACTTATCGCAAAACAAACACAACAAAACAAGATTACTGACAGTTTGATACTTTCTTCAATCTTCAATCTTGAAGTCATCACTCTATTCAAACAGAATGATAGTTAAGAAGTTGCTGACTTACCAGTATCAATATGGTAGTTAAGAAGTTGCTGACTTACCAGTATCAATATGATAGTTGAGAAGCTGTTGACTTACCAGTATCAATATGATAGTTAAGAAGTTGCTGACTTACCAGTATCAATATGATAGTTAAGAAGTTGCTGACTTACCAGTATCAATATGATAGTTGAGAAGCTGCTGACTTACCAGTATCAATATGATAGTTGAGAAGCTGCTGACTTACCAGTATCAATATGATAGTTAAGAAGTTGCTGACTTACCAGTATCAATATGACAGTTAAGAAGTTGTTGACTTACCAGTATCAATATGGTAGTTAAGAAGTTGTTGACTTACCAGTATCAATATGATAGTTAAGAAGTTGCTGACTTACCAGTATCAATATGATAGTTAAGAAGTTGCTGACTTACCAGTATCAATATGATAGTTGAGAAGTTGCTGACTTACCAGTATCAATATGGTAGTTAAGAAGTTGCTGACTTACCAGTATCAATATGATAGTTAAGAAGTTGCAGACTTACCAGTATCAATATGATAGTTAAGAAGTTGCTGACTTACCAGTATCAATATGATAGTTAAGAAGTTGCTGACTTACCAGTATCAATATGATAGTTAAGAAGTTGCTGACTTACCAGTATCAATATGATAGTTAAGAAGTTGCTGACTTACCAGTATCAATATGATAGTTAAGAAGTTGCTGACTTACCAGTATCAATATGATAGTTAAGAAGTTGCTGACTTACCAGTATCAATATGATAGTTAAAAGGTTGCTGACTTACCAGTATCAATATGATAGTTAAGAAGTTGCTGACTTACCAGTATCAATATGATAGTTAAGAAGTTGCTGACTTACCAGTATCAATATGATAGTTAAGAAGTTGCTGACTTACCAGTATCAATATGATAGTTAAGAAGTTGCTGACTTACCAGTATCAATATGGTAGTTAAGAAGTTGCTGACTTACCAGTATCAATATGGTAGTTAAGAAGTTGCTGACTTACCAGTATCAATATGATAGTTAAGGAGTTGCTGACTTACCAGTATCAATATGATAGTTAAGAAGTTGCTGACTTACCAGTATCAATATGATAGTTAAGAAGTTGCTGACTTACCAGTATCAATATGGTAGTTAAGAAGTTGCTGACTTACCAGTATCAATATGATAGTTAAGAAGTTGCTGACTTACCAGTATCAATATGGTAGTTAAGAAGTTGCTGACTTACCAGTATCAATATGATAGTTAAGGAGTTGCTGACTTACCAGTATCAATATGATAGTTAAGGAGTTGCTGACTTACCAGTATCAATATGATAGTTAAGAAGTTGCTGACTTACCAGTATCAATATGATAGTTAAGAAGTTGCTGACTTACCAGTATCAATATGATAGTTAAGGAGTTGCTGACTTACCAGTATCAATATGGTAGTTAAGAAGTTGCTGACTTACCAGTATCAATATGGTAGTTAAGAAGCTGTTGACTTACCAGTATCAATATGATAGTTAAGAAGTTGCTGACTTACCAGTATCAATATGGTAGTTAAGAAGTTGCTGACTTACCAGTATCAATATGATAGTTAAGAAGTTGCTGACTTACCAGTATCAATATGGTAGTTAAGAAGCTGTTGACTTACCAGTATCAATATGATAGTTAAGAAGGTGCTGACTTACCAGTATCAATATGGTAGTTAAGAAGTTGCTGACTTACCAGTATCAATATGGTAGTTAAGAAGTTGCTGACTTACCAGTATCAATATGATAGTTAAGAAGTTGATGACTTACCAGTATCAATATGATAGTTAAGAAGTTGCTGACTTACCAGTATCAATATGGTAGTTAAGAAGTTGCTGACTTACCAGTATCAATATGGTAGTTAAGATGTTGCAGACTTACCAGTATCAATATGATAGTTAAGATGTTGCAGACTTACCAGTATCAATATGATAGTTAAGAAGTTGCTGACTTACCAGTATCAATATGATAGTTAAGAAGTTGCTGACTTACCAGTATCAATATGATAGTTAAGAAGTTGCTGACTTACCAGTATCAATATGATAGTTAAGATGTTGCAGACTTACCAGTATCAATATGATAGTTAAGAAGTTGCTGACTTACCAGTATCAATATGATAGTTAAGAAGTTGCTGACTTACCAGTATCAATATGATAGTTAAGAAGTTGCTGACTTACCAGTATCAATATGATAGTTAAGATGTTGCAGACTTACCAGTATCAATATGGTAGTTAAGAAGTTGCTGACTTACCCGTATCAATATGATAGTTAAGAAGTTGCAGACTTACCAGTATCAATATGATAGTTAAGATGTTGCAGACTTACCAGTATCAATATGGTAGTTAAGAAGTTGCTGACTTACCAGTATCAATATGGTAGTTAAGAAGTTGCTGACTTACCAGTATCAATATGATAGTTAAGAAGTTGCTGACTTACCAGTATCAATATGATAGTTAAGAAGTTGCTGACTTACCAGTATCAATATGGTAGTTAAGAAGTTGCTGACTTACCAGTATCAATATGATAGTTAAGATGTTGCAGACTTACCAGTATCAATATGGTAGTTAAGAAGTTGCTGACTTACCAGTATCAATATGATAGTTAAGATGTTGCAGACTTACCAGTATCAATATGGTAGTTAAGAAGTTGCTGACTTACCCGTATCAATATGATAGTTAAGAAGTTGCAGACTTACCAGTATCAATATGATAGTTAAGATGTTGCAGACTTACCAGTATCAATATGGTAGTTAAGAAGTTGCTGACTTACCAGTATCAATATGGTAGTTAAGAAGTTGCTGACTTACCAGTATCAATATGATAGTTAAGAAGTTGCTGACTTACCAGTATCAATATGATAGTTAAGAAGTTGCTGACTTACCAGTATCAATATGGTAGTTAAGAAGTTGCTGACTTACCAGTATCAATATGATAGTTAAGATGTTGCAGACTTACCAGTATCAATATGGTAGTTAAGAAGTTGCTGACTTACCAGTATCAATATGATAGTTAAGATGTTGCAGACTTACCAGTATCAATATGATAGTTAAGAAGTTGCTGACTTACCAGTATCAATATGATAGTTAAGATGTTGCAGACTTACCAGTATCAATATGATAGTTAAGATGTTGCAGACTTACCAGTATCAATATGGTAGTTAAGATGTTGCAGACTTACCAGTATCAATATGATAGTTGAGAAGTTGCTGACTTACCAGTATCAATATGATAGTTGAGAAGTTGCTGACTTACCAGTATCAATATGGTAGTTAAGATGTTGCAGACTTACCAGTATCAATATGATAGTTAAGATGTTGCAGACTTACCAGTATCAATATGATAGTTAAGAAGTTGCTGACTTACCAGTATCAATATGATAGTTAAGATGTTGCAGACTTACCAGTATCAATATGATAGTTAAGATGTTGCAGACTTACCAGTATCAATATGGTAGTTAAGATGTTGCAGACTTACCAGTATCAATATGATAGTTGAGAAGTTGCTGACTTACCAGTATCAATATGATAGTTGAGAAGTTGCTGACTTACCAGTATCAATATGGTAGTTAAGATGTTGCAGACTTACCAGTATCAATATGATAGTTAAGATGTTGCAGACTTACCAGTATCAATATGATAGTTAAGAAGTTGCTGACTTACCAGTATCAATATGATAGTTGAGAAGCTGCTGACTTACCAGTATCAATATGGTAGTTAAGAAGTTGCTGACTTACCAGTATCAATATGATAGTTAAGAAGTTGCTGACTTACCAGTATCAATATGATAGTTAAGAAGTTGCTGACTTACCAGTATCAATATGATAGTTAAGAAGTTGCTGACTTACCAGTATCAATATGATAGTTAAGAAGCTGCTGACTTACCAGTATCAATATGATAGTTAAGATGTTGCAGACTTACCAGTATCAATATGGTAGTTGAGAAGTTGCTGACTTACCAGTATCAATATGATAGTTAAGAAGTTGCTGACTTACCAGTATCAATATGATAGTTAAGATGTTGCAGACTTACCAGTATCAATATGGTAGTTAAGAAGTTGTTGACTTACCAGTATCAATATGGTAGTTAAGAAGTTGCTGACTTACCAGTATCAATATGGTAGTTAAGATGTTGCTGACTTACCAGTATCAATATGATAGTTAAGAAGTTGCTGACTTACCAGTATCAATATGATAGTTGAGAAGTTGCTGACTTACCAGTATCAATATGGTAGTTAAGATGTTGCTGACTTACCAGTATCAATATGATAGTTAAGAAGTTGCTGACTTACCAGTATCAATATGATAGTTGAGAAGTTGCTGACTTACCAGTATCAATATGATAGTTAAGATGTTGCAGACTTACCAGTATCAATATGGTAGTTAAGAAGTTGCTGACTTACCAGTATCAATATGATAGTTAAGATGTTGCAGACTTACCAGTATCAATATGATAGTTAAGATGTTGCAGACTTACCAGTATCAATATGGTAGTTAAGAAGTTGCTGACTTACCAGTATCAATATGATAGTTAAGAAGTTGCTGACTTACCAGTATCAATATGATAGTTAAGATGTTGCAGACTTACCAGTATCAATATGGTAGTTGAGAAGTTGCTGACTTACCAGTATCAATATGATAGTTAAGAAGTTGCTGACTTACCAGTATCAATATGATAGTTAAGATGTTGCAGACTTACCAGTATCAATATGGTAGTTGAGAAGTTGCTGACTTACCAGTATCAATATGATAGTTCAGAAGTTGCTAACTTACCAGTATCAATATGATAGTTAAGATGTTGCAGACTTACCAGTATCAATATGATAGTTAAGATGTTGCAGACTTACCAGTATCAATATGATAGTTAAGAAGTTGCTGACTTACCAGTATCAATATGATAGTTAAGATGTTGCAGACTTACCAGTATCAATATGATAGTTAAGATGTTGCAGACTTACCAGTATCAATATGATAGTTAAGAAGTTGCTGACTTACCAGTATCAATATGGTAGTTGAGAAGTTGCTGACTTACCAGTATCAATATGATAGTTAAGAAGTTGCTGACTTACCAGTATCAATATGATAGTTAAGAAGTTGCTGACTTACCAGTATCAATATGATAGTTAAGAAGTTGCTGACTTACCAGTATCAATATGATAGTTAACAAGTTGCTGACTTACCAGTATCAATATGGTAGTTGAGAAGTTGCTGACTTACCAGTATCAATATGATAGTTAAGATGTTGCAGACTTACCAGTATCAATATGATAATTAACAAGTTGCAGACTTACCAGTATCAATATGATAGTTAAGATGTTGCAGACTTACCAGTATTAATATGATAGTTAAGAAGTTGCTGACTTACCAGTATCAATATGATAGTTAAGATGTTGCAGACTTACCAGTATCAATATGATAGTTAAGAAGTTGCTGACTTACCAGTATCAATATGATAGTTAAGAAGTTGCTGACTTACCAGTATCAATATGATAGTTAAGAAGTTGCTGACTTACCAGTATCAATATGATAGTTAACAAGTTGCTGACTTACCAGTATCAATATGGTAGTTGAGAAGTTGCTGACTTACCAGTATCAATATGATAGTTAACAAGTTGCTGACTTACCAGTATCAATATGGTAGTTGAGAAGTTGCTGACTTACCAGTATCAATATGATAGTTAAGAAGTTGCTGACTTACCAGTATCAATATGGTAGTTAAGAAGTTGCAGACTTACCAGTATCAATATGATAGTTAAGATGTTGCTGACTTACCAGTATCAATATGGTAGTTAACAAGTTGCTGACTTACCAGTATCAATATGGTAGTTAAGAAGTTGCTGACTTACCAGTATCAATATGATAGTTAAGATGTTGCAGACTTACCAGTATCAATATGGTAGTTAAGAAGTTGCAGACTTACCAGTATCAATATGATAGTTAAGAAGTTGCTGACTTACCAGTATCAATATGATAGTTAAGATGTTGCAGACTTACCAGTATCAATATGATAGTTAAGAAGCTGCTGACTTACCAGTATCAATATGATAGTTAAGAAGCTGCTGACTTACCAGTATCAATATGGTAGTTAAGAAGTTGCTGACTTACCAGTATCAATATGATAGTTAAGAAGTTGCTGACTTACCAGTATCAATATGATAGTTAAGAAGCTGCTGACTTACCAGTATCAATATGATAGTTAAGATGTTGCTGACATACCAGTATCAATATGATAGTTAAGAAGTTGCAGACTTACCAGTATCAATATGGTAGTTAAGAAGTTGCAGACTTACCAGTATCAATATGATAGTTAAGAAGTTGCTGACTTACCAGTATCAATATGATAGTTAAGAAGTTGCAGACTTACCAGTATCAATATGATAGTTAAGAAGTTGCAGACTTACCAGTATCAATATGATAGTTAAGAAGTTGCTGACTTACCAGTATCAATATGGTAGTTAAGACGTTGCTGACTTACCAGTATCAATATGGTAGTTAAGAAGTTGCTGACTTACCAGTATCAATATGGTAGTTAAGAAGTTGCTGACTTACCAGTATCAATATGGTAGTTAAGAAGTTGCTGACTTACCAGTATCAATATGGTAGTTAAGAAGTTGCTGACTTACCAGTATCAATATGGTAGTTAAGAAGTTGCTGACTTACCAGTATCAATATGATAGTTAAGAAGTTGTTGACTTACCAGTATCAATATGATAGTTAAGAAGTTGCTGACTTACCAGTATCAATATGGTAGTTAAGACGTTGCTGACTTACCAGTATCAATATGGTAGTTAAGACGTTGCTGACTTACCAGTATCAATATGGTAGTTAAGAAGTTGTTGACTTACCAGTATCAATATGATAGTTAAGAAGTTGCAGACTTACCAGTATCAATATGGTAGTTAAGAAGTTGCTGACTTACCAGTATCAATATGGTAGTTAAGACGTTGCTGACTTACCAGTATCAATATGGTAGTTAAGCAGCTGTTGACTTACCAGTATCAATATGGTAGTTAAGAAGTTGCTGACTTACCAGTATCAATATGATAGTTAAGAAGTTGCTGACTTACCAGTATCAATATGATAGTTAAGAAGTTGCTGACTTACCAGTATCAATATGGTAGTTAAGAAGTTGCTGACTTACCAGTATCAATATGATAGTTAAGAAGTTGCTGACTTACCAGTATCAATATGATAGTTAAGAAGTTGCTGACTTACCAGTATCAATATGATAGTTAAGAAGCTGTTGGATGGAATTGAACCAGGTTCCCTCTAATCTAAACTGTCCCTTATCATTGATCTGCATTATAAAGTGTTTGATCCCGACACTCCCAGCGTTCACACTCAGCACAAGAACCGCAGTGCGACGTTTAGAGTCTATAGTCTTCCTGATCAGAAACTGTCCTTTACTCTGGAGCAGCTCTGCTGTTTCTTGCCGGGTTATGTCGTTGTGGAACCACGGCTGGTTCTCCAGCGAGTCCTGAAGAGGGACTGGTAGTAAAGCGGGGTCCCATATCACTGTACTAGTGCAGTACTACTAGTGCAGCATATCACTGTACTAGTGCAGTGATCGTGTTGTTACTTTCTCGAGAGATAGAAGAAGTAGTTTCATTTCGGGGATAATACTTCAATAAGTTATTTTGGTTGGTTTATGTTTCCAGTTTAAATGTGAACAATAATCCTTACTCACATTAGAGTCGGTCTCTAGAAGTACTTTAGGGCACTCAGCCTCCTCCTCCTCGTTACTGTTACCCGAACTGTTGGAAGCCTCATCCTCCTTCGTCATTATTACATAGTCCTTATCTTCATCTTCCTCCCACTTCATCGCTACTGGTGTTCCTGCGGGTTTACTTAGCTTAGTGGGTTTATTTAGCTTAGCGGGTTTACTTAGCTTAGTGGCTTAACTTAGCTTAGGGGGTTTAGTTGCGTAGTTTGTGAGTAAACTATATAATATATAATATTTTCATCAATATTTTTATTCATGATTCTTCTCTTCACAGTAATAAGTCAGAACGAGGTTGTGGGGCTTTTTACTTTTTACTTTTACTTTTTTACAACTAAATCATATTTGAAACAGTGCCTCACTTCAGTAGAGACACAACTCCGCAAGCAATACACACACACATGAAACAAATGTAGGTGATAATAAGAGGTATAATGTTATAATACACAACTTCTCAACCTTTCAAGAGACAGTAAAGCGGTGGGGGGTCAAGAGACAAATAAGACAAATAAAACCAGACACCCTATCAGGGTTAACTCATAGAGTTAGAGAGCTAGAAGTCAACATTAGACACACACCACTAGTCACTAGTCACTAGTCACTACTCTAGTACAGAGAAGACCACTCTAACTAGGTAACTAGGTAACTAGGTAACTAGGTAACTAGGTAACTAGGTAACTAGGTAACTAGGTAACTAACACACCACTAGTCACTACTATAGTACAGAGAAGACCACTCTAACTAGGTAACTAGGTAACTAGGTAACTAGGTAACTAGGTAACTAGGTAAATAGGTAACTAACACACCACTAGTCACTACTATAGTACAGAGAAGACCACTCTAACTAGGTAACTAGGTAACTAGGTAACTAGGTAACTAGGTAACTAGGTAACTAGGTAACTAGGTAACTAAGTAACTAGGTAACTAGGTAACTAGGTAACTAGAGGTTACAGTGTTAACTAGGTAACTAGGTAACTAGGTAACTAGGTAACTAGGTAACTAGGTAACTAGGTAACTAGGTAACTAGGTAACTAGGTAACTAGGTAACTAGGTAACTAGGTAACTAGGTAACTAGGTAACTAGGTAACTAGGTAACTAGGTAACTAGGTAACTAACACGCCACTAGTTAGAACACCACTCTAACTAGGTAACTAGGTAACTAGGTAACTAGGTAACTAGGTAACTAGGTAACTAGGTAACTAGGTAACTAGGTAACTAGGTAACTAGGTAACTAGGTAACTAGGTAACTAGGTAACTAGGTAACTAGGTAACTAGGTAACTAGGTAACTAGGTAACTAGGTAACTAGGTAACTAGGTAACTAGGTAACTAGGTAACTAGGTAACTAGGTAACTAGGTAACTAACACACCACTAGTCACTACTATAGTACAGAGAATACCACTCTAACTAGGTAACTAGGTAACTAGGTAACTAGGTAACTAGGTAACTAGGTAAATAGGTAACTAACACACCACTAGTCACTACTATAGTACAGAGAAGACCACTCTAACTAGGTAACTAGGTAACTAGGTAACTAGGTAACTAGGTAACTAGGTAACTAGGTAACTAGGTAACTAAGTAACTAGGTAACTAGGTAACTAGGTAACTAGAGGTTACAGTGTTAACTAGGTAACTAGGTAACTAGGTAACTAGGTAACTAGGTAACTAGGTAACTAGGTAACTAGGTAACTAGGTAACTAGGTAACTAGGTAACTAGGTAACTAGGTAACTAGGTAACTAGGTAACTAGGTAACTAGGTAACTAGGTAACTAGGTAACTAGGTAACTAGGTAACTAACACGCCACTAGTTAGAACACCACTCTAACTAGGTAACTAGGTAACTAGGTAACTAGGTAACTAGGTAACTAGGTAACTAGGTAACTAGGTAACTAGGTAACTAGGTAACTAGGTAACTAGGTAACTAGGTAACTAGGTAACTAGGTAACTAGGTAACTAGGTAACTAGGTAACTAGGTAACTAGGTAACTAGGTAACTAGGTAACTAGGTAACTAGGTAACTAGGTAACTAGGTAACTAGGTAACTAGGTAACTAGGTAACTAGGTAACTAGGTAACTAGGTAACTAGGTAACTAGGTAACTAGGTAACTAGGTAACTAGGTAACTAGGTAACTAGGTAACTAGGTAACTAGGTAACTAGGTAACTAGGTAACTAGGTAACTAGGTAACTAGGTAACTAGGTAACTAGGTAACTAGGTAACTAGGTAACTAGGTAACTAGGTAACTAGGTAACTAGGTAACTAGGTAACTAGGTAACTAGGTAACTAGGTAACTAGGTAACTAGGTAACTAGGTAACTAGGTAACTAGGTAACTAGGTAACTAGGTAACTAGGTAACTAGGTAACTAGGTAACTAGGTAACTAGGTAACTAACACGCCACTAGTTAGAACACCACTCTAACACACCACACTGGTTTAGTACATACCCGGCCTGTCGTATATTTGGTCAAACAAACAACAGGATCGGTGGGTAAAGTACGTTTGGATTAATAAACTTTCTGCAATTAAATTTGCTTATTAGTCAATTCTGGAATAATTTTAAAATGTGGAAGCAGACGGTTACCAAAAGAAAGCGTGGTCAGGGCAAGTATTAATAATTGATAGATGAGATGTATGCAGGGAAATGGAGGTTATTAAAGTTTAGTTACCAAGGTTGAGGTCTTTAGTGTTATCGAACGAAGTCTGTCGTCCCAGTGTCAGAAGATTCTTGATCTTAGTTAGAGTTGCATTTGGCCGTCTGGGAAAATAATATTATTATACGAATAATTAATATTATTCCATAATTACAGTTATAACATTTCGTCATACTCTATTTAACTGAATCTAGAATATACTCAACTTCTAGAATATATTCAACATCTAGAATATATTGCAGGAGGAGGGGGGTGGGGTGCACTGGGGGGAGCTTACCTCTGAGTAGCAGGAGAGACAGCTCCCAAACACTGCGGTAACATCATACTCTGACTGATGTTAGACAGTGTGTTCCCTCTGATAGGGTCTAAAGTACAAGGGAGTAGTTTGTAGAACGGCTCTAACGGTTTCCCCTTCCACTGCTCTACACTATCTGATATAAAGTTCACTGTCATCTGGTACCGGCATCTCTGTGCGCCTAACTCATGCAAGTGAGCCTTGATGTTCAGTTTCTAAACAAACAAATATTGTTATTTTATTAGTATATAATAGATAACTTGATGTTCAGTTTCTAAACAAACAAATATTGTTATTTTATTAGATAATAGATTTGAATTCAAATTCGAAACAAAATTTTAAAATTCAGTCATTTATAATTAATGATATTTAAATAAAATTATATTTTTTAGGATCTCTGGGAGGCATTCCCATTTACAATTAAATGTCCCGGACCGCCCCCGGAGGTGTTTATAAGAGTATATTTATTACCAGTATAATATCATAAAATAAATAAACTATAAAATAATAAAACCTAAAAATAACCTTAGACTCGTCAGTCTTCTCCCCACCCTCAGTCTCATACTGTTCCAGTTTCTGAGACTTCGCCTCCAGCTTCTCGTCTATATACTTCAGGTCTGTCTTGTGAGCATCTAGTTTAGCACGCAGTGTGTAGTCAGTCAGCTCGTTAACTATTAGCTGCTTTATGGGCAGGTTTAGAGAGGTGTACTTCTGGAGAGACGTGTTGTACTCCTCGTTACCTGACAGGAGTAATAGTTACTATAGTTACTACTCCTCGTTACCTAAAAGGAGTAATAACTTGCATATCCACCTTCAAATACGTAATGTACTGACTCGACATAAAATAATATGATAAATATTGATAATTTCTTGATATAAGTTATTTAAAATCGTTTTTCGGGATCCAACAGCAAACATTTCATACCGTTATTAATTGATACTTAAAGCACGTAATTAACTAATTAATTACAGGGTTTCAAGGTGTTGCAGCGGTCGTGGGACAAGGTGAAGTCGATGTACTCAGAGTTACCATAGTTACTATAGTTACCATAGTTACTTACAGGGTTTCAAGGTGTTGCAGCGGTCGTGGGACATGGTGAAGTCGGTGTACTCAGAGTTACTATAGTAAATAGTTACTATAGTTACCATAGTTACCATAGTTACTTACAGGGTTTCAAGGTGTTGCAGTGGTCGTGGGACAAGGTGAAGTCGGTGTACTCAGAGTTACTATAGTTACTATAGTTACCATAGTTACCATAGTTACTTACAGGGTTTCAAGGTGTTGCAGCGGTCGTGGGACAAGGTGAAGTCGGTGTACTCAGAGTTACCATAGTTACTATAGTTACTATAGTTACTATAGTTACTTACAGGGTTTCAAGGTGTTACACCGGTCGTGGGACAAGGTGAAGTCGGTGTTCTCAGAGTTACTATAGTTACCATAGTTACCATAGTTACTTACAGGGTTTCAAGGTGTTACACCGGTCGTGGGACAAGGTGAAGTCGGTGTACTCAGAGTTACTATAGTTACCATAGTTACCATAGTTACCATAGTTACCATAGTTACTTACAGGGTTTCGTGGTGTTACACCGGTCGTGGTACAAGGTGAAGTCGGTGTACTCAGAGTTACTATAGTTACTATAGTTACTATAGTTACTTACAGGGTTTCAAGGTGTTACACCGGTCGTGGGACAAGGTGAAGTCGGTGTTCTCAGAGTTACTATAGTTACCATAGTTACCATAGTTACTTACAGGGTTTCAAGGTGTTACACCGGTCGTGGGACAAGGTGAAGTCGGTGTACTCAGAGTTACTATAGTTACCATAGTTACCATAGTTACCATAGTTACTTACAGGGTTTCATGGTGTTACACCGGTCGTGGGGCAGGGTGAAGTCGGTGTACTCAGAGTTACTATAGTTACCATAGTTACCATAGTTCCTTACAGGGTTTCAAGGTGTTGCACCGGTCGTGGGACAAGGTGAAGTCGGTGTACTCAGAGTTACTATAGTTACTATAGTTACCATAGTTACTATAGTTACTTACAGGGTTTCAAGGTGTTGCACCGGTCGTGGGACAAGGTGAAGTCGGTGTACTCAGAGTTACTATAGTTACTATAGTTACCATAGTTACTATAGTTACTTACAGGGTTTCAAGGTGTTGCACCGGTCGTGGGACAAGGTGAAGTCGGTGTACTCAGAGTTACTATAGTTACTATAGTTACTATAGTTACCATAGTTACCATAGTTACTTACAGGGTTTCAAGGTGTTGCACCGGTCGTGGGACAAGGTGAAGTCGGTGTACTCAGAGTTACTATAGTTACCATAGTTACCATAGTTACTTACATGGTTTCAAGGTGTTGCACCGGTCGTGGGACAAGGTGAAGTCGGTGTACACAGAGTTACTATAGTTACTATAGTTACCATAGTTACTATAGTTACTTACAGGGTTTCAAGGTGTTGCACCGGTCGTGGGACAAGGTGAAGTCGGTGTACTCAGAGTTACTATAGTTACTATAGTTACCATAGTTACTTACAGGGTTTCAAGGTGTTGCAGCGGTCGTGGGACAAGGTGAAGTCGGTGTACTCAGAGTTACTATAGTTACTATAGTTACTATAGTTACTATAGTTACTTACAGGGTTTCAAGGTGTTACACCGGTCGTGGGACAAGGTGAAGTCGGTGTACTCAGAGTTACTATAGTTACTATAGTTACTTACAGGGTTTCAACTTTCAAGGTGTTGCAGCGGTCGTGGGACAGGGTGAAGTCGGTGTACTCAGAGTTACTATAGTTACCATAGTTACTATAGTTACTTACAGGGTTTCAAGGTGTTGCACCGGTCGTGGGACAAGGTGAAGTCGGTGTACTCAGAGTTACTATAGTTACCATAGTTACCATAGTTACTTACAGGGTTTCAAGGTGTTGCAGCGGTCGTGGGACAAGGTGAAGTCGGTGTACTCAGAGTTACTATAGTTACTATAGTTACTATAGTTACTATAGTTACTTACAGGGTTTCAAGGTGTTACACCGGTCGTGGGACAAGGTGAAGTCGGTGTACTCAGAGTTACTATAGTTACTATAGTTACTATAGTTACTATAGTTACTTACAGGGTTTCAAGGTGTTACACCGGTCGTGGGACAAGGTGAAGTCGGTGTACTCAGAGTTACTATAGTTACTATAGTTACCATAGTTACCATAGTTACTTACAGGGTTTCAAGGTGTTACACCGGTCGTGGGACAAGGTGAAGTCGGTGTACTCATAGTTACTATAGTTACCATAGTTACCATAGTTACTTACATGGTTTCAAGGTGTTGCACCGGTCGTGGGACAAGGTGAAGTCGGTGTACTCAGAGTCGAAATTAATCTTGCTGATGTAAGAGTAGATGTTGGACATAGCCAGCGTGTAACCCTCGTCATGATGGAGAAGTATCTCGAAACTAAACCTCAGCAATGACTTGATATCAGCAATCTGAGGGGCGGTCACATTTATCATTTATCAGTCATATAGAGGTTAGGAGTTACTGAGTATTTTGTGCAACTTTTTTACATCAATTTTGTATCTATAATAATATATAATATCTAAAGTAAACATTGGCCAGTAAGCAAAGCTGGTCCCCAATCAATCTTCGGATTTGATATTGTTAATATCCCAATAACCTTGTCTATCTATAAAATATGATAAAGGAAGCAAACCTTGTGCCTTCAGTAAACCTGTAGGCACTTATTCGGAGGTTCAGAGTTGAGACACAGTTAATAAACTGCGGAGTGACTAAAATGCTATACAGCAAAAACAGAACGCTCCAACCAAACACTCCACCTACTGATCCTAACCACCCTAACAACTCTCTAGCTCTCTCTCTTCAACCCTCATTCCCTCACTCCTCTTGGTGCGCAAAACCATTCTAACCTATGTATGTCCCCCCTAAGGGTTCCACAAGCCCAACGGTACATAGTTAGACGAAAAACAGAGAAGCCTTGATTGCCAGATCAAGGACTGCATCAGTAGCAGCGAAATACGGATATACCTTCTCCCTTACAGTCAGCGAGCTGACAACTATCTGACTGTGTCTTTTAGGCCTTGCCACACCACCTTCGCTATTGCATCCGCTCGCCCGTATTCACTGACACATGCCACACCTGGGTTTAGTATGAAGATGTACGCATATTCACCCAAGATGCGGAGATGCCTCAGTTTAGCGAGTTGAGATACAACAGCAAACTCACAGGAGCATGGATCAGAATCATCAGTTACCAACCTGACACCGTTTCGGGGCTTTAATCGCAATACGGTTTCCTGTCAGGCGCCCCAGCAGTCCACCCTTGAACCACCATCTGATCCGAGAGTCACTTGAGGAGACCCGTTAGAGCTCGCAATTGGCGACGAGATAACGTTTATGGTACCTCTAGATGTTATAGTGAACTTTCAAGCTCCAACCTTCCTGAACTCCCACTCCCTCTTTCTCGATAACAAATAAATCCATCTGGAACAGTGGGCTGCCTCTTTCCCGCTGTCCCGTACCAGCTTCTTCAGCTCTCTTCCCCTAAAACCAATCCTCCTCGCAGCTCTCTCCAAACTCTGCGCAACCACTCCCCTAGCTCCAACTTCGACTGCGGCATTATAACAGCACCAACCTTTTGCCTGAATCTCAGCCTGCAGACCGCTGTATCGGTCGAGCTTGTACTCGTGCGATTCAGCGATCCGCTCTTCAGATGGTACTGTTAGCTCCCACCAAATAACTGTCTTTGCCGACCTTGAGAATATCACAAGGTCCGGCCTCAGCCGTGTTTCCACAATCTCACTGGGAAACTTAAGCTGCCCCTCAAGGTCTGACAGCACTATCCAATCCCGATACCCACTCAGGATCCTAAAACCACGACTCTCCTTCCGGTCGTCTGTACCTGCTTTTCTTTTCCCAGCAGGAACAAAATCAATGAACTGCCTTCCATCGCCGGCCTTGTTCTTATAAGTGTTCACTCGGCGATCACAATGGAAGACAACCTGTTCAGAGATCTGCTTCAGAACCTTGTCGTGCCGCCATCTATACCTTCCTTGACTAAGGGCCACCTTACACCCAGCCAAAATGTGCTGAATGGTGCCCATCCAAGGGTCGACCGAGTCCTCGGCCTCGGCCTCGGTTTTACCGAGGAATGGCGATTTTTCCTCGGCCTCGGCCTCGGCCTCGGTCAGGAGGACAATTCCTCGGTTCGCCTCGGCCTCGGTCAAAAATAGATTCGAAATTCCTCGGCCTCGGCGAAATTTGACGATTTTACCGAGGATTTGACCGAGGATTTTTCTTGAAATTTTGGGAATTTTTCTACAGACTTACAGAGGTTTATGTAAACGAATTTGTAAAATTGAAAATAAAACGACCAATTGACCAGGACACAAAACTAAAAATATCATAGTCTAAGATTCATCGTCTGATGAAATGACAATATCTGAGCACTCTGAATCAGAATAATCTTCTGTGCACAGCTCAGAAGGGGGACAGTCCTCTTTATTTGGGGCTTCAAATTCATTTGGACAGGGGCCGAAGTCGTCCCCAAATGTTCCGATGTTCTTTTTGAGAAACAAGCACCCCTCAAAGTTTGTTGGCTTAAGGCTGAGGCGATTTAACTTCAGGATGTGCCCTGCTGTAGAAAACAATCTCTCTGGTGCTGCTGAGCTCGCCGGCGCAGATATATATTTCCTTGAACACTCAGCAAGGTTCGGATAGCTCTGCTTATTAGCTTTCCAGAAAACTAATGGTTGAAATGATAAATCAACTCGAGAGTCTTTTAAGTATCTGTTAGCTTCCCTCCTTATCTTCTCACTATTTTCTTCGAATTCATCGTCTTCTTCAGACTGTGAGGTACTATCCAGGTACAGTGCGCTTTTCCTAATAAACAATGCCCTTTTTTCCAACAATTTTTCTGCCAAAATTCCTCGGCCTCGGCCTCGGCCTCGGTCAAAATTTGCACTCCTCGGCCTCGGCCTCGGCCTCGGTCAAAAAAAAGAAACCTCGGTTGTCCTCGGCCTCGGTCTTAACTAACTGTATTTTCCTCGGCCTCGGCCTCGGTCGAAAATCCTGCCCTCGGTCGACCCCTGTGCCCATCCTCTCCTCACATAACTTGCACTTCCCATCCTCATCTTCACTCCACTTGGAAACCATAGAGGGGGTTAAGAGGGTGCCGTACACAGCACTTAGCATGAACCCAATAAGTGAGTCACCATACTTAAAAAGTGTATGCCAGCTCAAATCCGTCTTCATTACGAGCTCTCTCCACTCACCCCACCTGCTCTGCATCTCCAGAGAACCTACTTGCACCTCCCTCTCTCTTTCAATGTTCTCCTTCACTCTCAGCATAACCTCCCTCTCTCTTTCCCGCTCTCCATCCTCTCCCAAGGTTTTTTCCAGTCACCAAAACCGATGCCAACTCTTTTTTGAGGTTGCACCATCCCCCGCACCGATTCACAGACCAAATCTCTTCTGGCCTCTTCCAGTTCTGTCTCAGGCCTCCAAACTCTACCAGAACGAACTTGGGGCTGGACTGCTTTAATCAGGTCATCCTTAGATGTCTGATAGGATTGCAACAGTCGACACTTCTCTATAAAGTCCAAATTAATTATAAACTAATTAATTACTAGACTAATTAATTACTAGACTAATTAATTATTAGACTAATTAATTATTAGACTAATTAATTATTAGACTAATTAATTAATAGACTAATTAATTAATAGACTAATTAATTAATAGACTAATTAATTAATAGACTAATTAATTAATGTACTAATTAATTAATAGACTAATTAATTAATAAACTAATTAATTAATAGACTAATTAATTAATAGACTAACGGTTAAGGACCTGGTTAGTGAGGAGATGTTGATGGTAGTCTATCCAGGCAGGGAGGATGTGCTCGATATACGACACCTCATGCATTGACACTACGTTTAGAAGGATGTTATAGTCGTTGTTGTACTCTTGAAGTTTCGCTGCGTTCGATACGAACCTATCAGAAGAGTTTTGTAATTTATGTGCTGCATAACTCCTGTACCCAATATTAAAGTCAATACATTAATATAGAGGTTTCACTGTAATATTAATGACTGATTTCTGGAGTTCTGGGAGGGGGGCTGGAGGAGGGAGCGGTGAGGAGGGGGGGGGGGGCATACGTATAAATCTACTCTAGAACTTGTTACCCGGAGATAATTAATCTCACTGTAATAATTAGTACATGACTGCCATCAATTATTAATTAGTAAACTTAATCAATTAATAACTTCTGTGAACAACAAATGTCTATTTAGTTTTTACAGCAGTAATTGTATTTTAATCGATAACACTGACCTTGTTTTGTATTTCTCCTTATAATCAATATTTGACCTTTCTCTCGTCCCCTCCTCGTATTTAATCTTGTTAGCCTCTGTTGCTTTAGCGAAATCTTCAATAGAGTTCTGTAACTTTGTGATATCCTTCCCGACCAATGACATGTGAGATTCTAGTCTGTTTTTAGTTGTTACCAGATCTATTATCGCTTTCTTCTTCTTTTCTGATACCGCACTTATTCCAGGTAAAATCTCCTGAAAACATATTGCAATAGTTGGAGGAGGGGGGGGGGCCGGGAGGGGGTTGTTAAATCAAGTTAAAGTTTACAGTAGCAGGAGCTTTAAAAAACATGTTTTAATAGTCTGAGAAGGACATTCAAAGAAGGAGAATCCTAGCTGAGATTGCTTTTAAGAACTTCGAAAAAGTATGGTTGTCCGGTAAGAAAATTTCCCTTGAAATTTCCCTTGAAAGAAAGCTGAGGTTATATGATGCTCAAGTTGTATCTGTATTGATTTATAACTCAAATAGTTGGAGTCCTATTAAGAAAGCAACCATGGAGAAAATGGACACACTTCATCGTAGACACCTCAGGTCCATTTTAAACATCAAATGGCCTAAAGGTATGATAAGCAACAAAGCATTGTATGAAAGGTGCAAAGAATTGAACGAAATTGGAGATATAGCTGCATGCAACAGATGTTGGGAGAATCTGTTTCAAAGGTACAGTTTACCGCATTAAGGTATTTTTAAGAATCATTTTTGTCGGTAAGATCCTGTTTTATAATAATAATAACCTTTTATTACATAAATGACGATAAATGATGAAAAAATATTGACTATGAAAATTTAAACGGCACGATACTCGTAAATAAATTAAGTAACTCATTAACTAATTAATTGATTAACGAACTAATTGAGTCGTACCGTCTAAAAAGTAACGCATTAACTAATTAATTGATTAGGCAATTAATTGTACCGTCTCAAAGGTAACTCATTAACTAATTAATTGATTAAGCAACTAATTGTACCGTCTCAAAGGTAACTCATTAAATATTTAATTGATTAAACAACTAATTGTACCGCCTCAAAGGTAACTCATTAAATAATCAATTGTTTAAGCAACTAATTGTACCGTCTCAAAGGTAACTCATTATCTAACTAATTGATTAAACAACTAATCGTACCGTTTTAAAGGTAACTCATTAACTAATTAATTGATTAAACAACTAATCGTACCGTTTTAAAGGTAACTCATTAACTAATTAATTGATTAAACAACTAATCGTACCGTTTTAAAGGTAACTCATTAAATAATTAATTGATTAAACAAGTAATTGTACCGCCTCAAAGGTAACTCATTAACTAATTAATTGATTAAGCAATTAATTACCGTCTCGAATGTAACTCATTAACTAATTAATTGATTAAGCAACTAATTGTACCGTCTCAAAGGTAACTCATTAACTAATTAATTGATTAAACGACTAATTGTACCGTCTCGAATGTAACTCATTAACTAATTAATTGATTAAACAACTAATCGTACCGTTTTAAAGGTAACTCATTAAATAATTAATTGATTAAACAACTAATTGTACCGCCTCAAAGGTAACTCATTAACTAATTAATTGTTTAAGCAAATAATCGTACCGTCTCAAAGGTAACTCATTATTTAATTAATTGATTAAACAACTAATTGTACCGCCTCAAAGGTAACTCATTAACTAATTAATTGATTAAGCAAATAATCGTACCGTCTCGAAGGTAACTCATTAACTAATTAATTGATTAAGCAACTAATTACCGTCTCGAAGGTCTCCACCCCCTTGCTCATACAGTCTGCAGCTCTGGAGCTCTGGTCCAGTAGTTTTAACCATGTTTTAGTCCCGTAAGTAGTAGTCAGGTTATTACATTGCTTAATAAACTGGGAGTCAAGACGTCTGATGCTCTCAGCATAGTCCTCTTCTAGCTTCTTACGCTGTGTGAAGTAACTCTTCACCTCGTCCACAAACTTAAGTTCACCTAACAGAGGAAAACTGTGTCACGTGTTCTTTCTACGGACATTATTCTCAGTTTTACAGGCGTTATTTTACCCATTTTCGTTTCGTAAAATGGCTAAATCAACGAGAAGTTGATTTTATTAATAGCATCTAAATCTTTAAATTTGTACCTTGACATTCTTCAACGAGTTCATCCCAGCATTGGAAAGATTGTACGTTATCACTTAATCTCATGTAAGTGAGCTAGTAACCATAGGAACGGGAGATTATATCACAGTGACGTCATCACATTATAACGAGATATATTGCCAGATATATTGCCATCATTTCCAATCTAGGTTGAGAATAATACATTTATTATGAGTAATAATCCCCTTGGTAACGAACCATGATATTATACAATTATATTATTACCGACCAAAGCGACCTTCATTAAACAGTAAAACATTGTTGGTTATAAATTAAAATTAATTAACAAACAGTAATAGTTGTAATGAGAGTTATTTTCATTCACCTGATCTCTAAGTAGAGACACCTCACAGCGAGTAAGGTTATTAACTAACATTATTCTGTATTAAATATTTACCCCTTGAAGAATTTAAAGATGCGTGAATTATTATTATCAGTTCTTATAACCCTGAACAATGAACATCATTATATCTGATAACATTAGTCATTACCGACTAGATAATCCAGATAGTAAATTAGTATTATAGCTGATAGTCTAGATAGTATAGATACTATATATTGGATAGACTAGAATATAGTCTAGATGATATTATAGTCCCTGCCTGGGATCTGAGCATTTCAACTCTAACAAGGGTACCTAATTCTGGGCACGTTTAAAAGTAGACTTTTAGTTGGAACTATAAGAAACCCCTGCTAGGATCATATATGCCGGGGTTGTTTAAAAGTAGACTTTTAGTTGGAACTATAAGAAACCCCTGCTAGGATCATATATGCCGGGGTTGTTTAAAAGTAGACTGAAAAGTTGGAGCTATAAGAAACCCCTGCTAGGATCATATATGCCGGGGTTGTCCCTGCTGTGTCTCCCCGACTCCCTCCTTCTTGAAGGGGGTGCAGGAGGAGGAGGGGGGTGTGATTCTCCTAACATGGGAATACTGTCTGCTTTACTCCCATTACTCGGAGCACTGTCTCTTAGCGCCGCGCGTTTTGACGCATGCTGACTTGGCTCAAGTCCAGGAATGTGTCGCTTGTTATCGCGGGGTGGGGGAGGCGGCGCTACATCCTCTATGTCAACGTCTGACAGTTCGTTGTCCTCGTTACCAGGTGAGTCGCAGGCTGTAACGTCCACCTCGTCCTCGTAAAGATCTGCTTTCTCTTCACTGAGACGCTGCATTATGTTCTGAATCTCCTCTATGTCGTCTACCGAGGTGGAACTCTGAAAATATAATAACATGAAATTAGTTTCCAATAATTGATGAAAAATATATTAATTCAATTTTTAAATACAATTTTGTTTACTATAAAAAGATGAGCAAAACAATTTGTATGTCTTTTCTACTTTTCTACAATATATTAAATTATATATAATAGACATTATATCTAACTAGCAGGAACCCGTCTAACCCTAAAGTGGTGTCAAGACTCGAGAGACTAAAATAATTATTACCTATTTAATTCGCGTTTTTGACACCACTTGAGAGTCCAAATTTTGGGCACTAAAATTATTATTCCTTGGCCAATTTTTTATTTTTTCATGCTGATTTGAAGGCCATTAAAGCATTTGACCCAGTCAAAAAAGTTTCAGTTGTATATGTTTTACGGTTTTTGCGGAAAGTCGCGTTAAAGTTGATGCCGTGGTGTCAGTAAAATGGCACGGATATATACACATATATATATCGTCTCGCTTTATATATAGTAAGATTGTGTTTCATTGCATCAAAATAAACATAAGAAGGACCAACATTTGATTTAGACTGGTTCGTCTTTACCTCAATGAGATAGCCCCACCAAGGGGCGTCAATCTGTTCGTACAGATCATCCTTCTCTACGTCTTTAGAGAGACTAATGCTGAACTTACACCGCTTAGCAGACAGTGTGAGCAACGCTCCTGAGGGTCACAGTTTCAGAAGTCATGACAACAGTTTCAGGAGTCATGACAACAGTTTCAGGAGTCATGACAACAGTTTCAGGAGTCATAACAATAGTTTCAGCAGTCATAACAATAGTTTCAGGAGTCATAACAACAGTTTCAGGAGTCATGACAACAGTTTCAGGAGTCATGACAACAGTTTCAGGAGTTATAACAACAGTTTCAGGAGTCATGACAACAGTTTCAGGAGTCATGACAACAGTTTCAGGAGTCATGACAACAGTTTCAGGAGTCATAACAACAGTTTCAGGAGTCATGACAACAGTTTCAGGAGTCATGACAACAGTTTCAGGAGTCATGACAACAGTTTCAGGAGTCATGACAACAGTTTCAGGAGTCATAACAACAGTTTCAGGAGTCATGACAACAGTTTCAGGAGTCATGACAACAGTTTCAGGAGTCATGAAAACAGTTTCAGGAGTCATGACAACAGCTTCAGGAGTCATGACAACAGTTTCAGGAGTCATAACAACAGTTTCAGGAGTCATGACAACAGTTTCAGGAGTCATGACAACAGTTTCAGGAGTCATAACAACAGTTTCAGGAGTCATGACAACAGTTTCAGGAGTCATAACAACAGTTTCAGGAGTCATGACAACAGTTTCAGGAGTCATGACAACAGTTTCAGGAGTCATAACAACAGTTTCAGGAGTCATGACAACAGTTTCAGGAGTCATGAAAACAGTTTCAGGAGTCATGAAAACAGTTTCAGGAGTATATTTAAAATACTATTTATAACTTATTATAAAATAATAAGTTTTGACCATCTCAGAAAGCTCTTGATAAAGTAAGTTTAACCAAGACACTAGTTCAACTAACCCGCAATAACATCAGGCGTGTAATGCAGGGACACAGGCGTGCAGAAAGATTCGTTACAGTAGTTCCATGCCATCTGAAAAGAAGTGTTATGGACTTGATAGTAACACTTAAAGAACAGAGGTATTTATAATTTCATCAGAATAATGTTCTAGTTCTAGTACTAATTATACAAAATATAATGTTGTGTTGGCATTTCAGAAGTGATTAATTGTTATTAACACTTATGACTTATTATATAGCATGAGCACCTTAAAACGTTGGGGAACTAATTAGGTGACATATAATATAGCTAATGTTTGTTAATTGCAGTAGGCCTAAGAAGTGGTAACTGCTTTATTATATAACATGAAGCTGAAATCCGAATGGAACTTAAAACAGATGACTTATTTTCAATTATCGGCTTTCAAACGTAAATTAGCGTTATAATTGCAGTGATAACTAATCATCAGTTTTACTTTGCAAGATTGTACTTTCAAAATATAAATCTTGCCTGAACCACGTCACTTTTGCGATTTTTTTCTCCCCTGAACTGCTTCGCATACTTCAATATAAACTTGTATGGGTGAATTATATTGAAGTCAAACTTCACTGTCTGAAATAAAATGTGTGATTATTTTAAATTCGCTGTTAAAAATAAAATGTGAGGAGTATTAAATTGGAAGCTAAGCACAAGATAGTTTTCAATATCACTTCAAGGTTGTAAAGATATACTTCAAACAAAAAAGCAGAAAAAAGTAAAGAAGTTCACCTGGAGAAGAATCTTTTCGTAAAGAAGCATTTCATCGACTGGATTCAATGCAAATGCTGTGAACTGCTCCTTACTCAACAGATGCTTAGCTGTCCGTACAATATCCTTGCTAAGTTTGGGCGTTTCTTCCACTTTGCCAGCTAGAAACAAGCAGGATGCAGCCATCACCCACCTGTTTTAAATCATATTATTGAAATCTATTAGGCAATGAATAAAACAGTTTCCAGACAAAACAATTGTCTGATTCGCGACTTAAAACTTTTAAGATTGCATCGTATCATCACTCAACACACATACCTGTTGAATTTTTCAAAGGAGTGGAACATAAAGAATCTGTGAAAGAATACACAACCAGTTGCCATGGTATCATGAGTAAGCCGAAGTTCTTTTACTGCTGCTTGGATAAATTTTGCACCTGAAAATATCAAATATGAAATATTACTATACCGTAGTGAAAGAAATGAACCTTTCTGTTTTTATGATAAAAACAGACTTACAAATTAAGTTATAATAATAATAATAATAATAATAATAGGATTATGGCCACATGGCCATCTCGACAAAACTTGAAACCCAACTGCACTCTACGCTATTGCAGTTCGCAAAGTTATCAACATTTTTCACTGCAATGCTTAAGAATAAGAATAAGCACTAAGTTGTCAATAAAAGGCTACTTCAAAACCTGGCTATAGTGCAGCACACATCTGCCTGGTAGTTCTAAATCTTAACATATAAAATTAACCGACCTTCTTTTCGATAAAGTATCTCAGTCAAATAATCAACCCCATCACTCTGACTTGGTGTTTGTCGCAGCTTCTTTTTATCGAACATCCATTTGTTCAACATCTTAAGAATATTTTACATATTATATATATAATAATAAAACTGTTATAAAGAAATTATACATATATTTATAAAGACTGATCTTTGGGGGTTGGAGCTAGGATGTTTCAGAATAGAAGTTACTAAGTTAAAAAGTTAACCTGTTTTTGCACTAAATTCGAAAATCTATTGAAACACACTGCATACATCAACTTAAAAACCAATTATCTATGAAGCGTAATTTACATGAAGGCGAATCAAATGAGAGTAAATGATACACGCAATATTTTGAAAGTTTTACTTCAAATTATAAACTTATAAATTTTTATTCAATTAAATGTATAACAAAACTCACAACTTTAATAAAAACAATTCATACAATGCAGAGCTCCAAATGATTAACTTCCGATCAAAATCATTTCAAGGCAATCAGTCTGTCAACTATTTGGCTAAAGCAAAAGTTGAGGTTGATGGACACATATGAAATTACAGTTCAGTCAAATTGTATTCAAATAGAGACTATAGATCGTACATCATAGATCATAGGCATGTCTATGGTATCCTGTACACAAATTTACAGAAATTACACTGCATGGACAAGACTGATAAATGTTCATCAGCTTCAATAGAGAAGAGTGGAATTTGGTTACAAGAATTTGAATGAAGATCAGCAGCTACCCTTAGTGATTCTCCAATCTGACTCAAAATTAAGTTGCTTTGCCCATACAGTTCTATTCCACAGTTACAGACGATTTTATGGTTCAACTTGAAGAGATTGTTTCTCTGGCAAATAGGGCAAATTATACACTCTTCAAACTGGGTATTAACCATCTCATCAAAGAGAGCTTCACCCATGGCCATATCATTAGAGGCTTGTTCAATTAGCAGTTCTTGTTTAATTTCCTCCATCAAAGTGTGGATTTCATCAGACCTCTCAAGGATATCCTCATCAACAAAACCTAACTCTCTTGACAAAGAGATAAACTGTGAGTGCAGAATGTCATTTATCAAAGATTCATCGTTAATATCCATAGATCGCATTCGATTCAGCACTGATTGCCTTCTCACCTTCATTTCCAATCTGCACTTATCTTTTAGAGAGCTTTTCCAATTTGGACTTCGACCTTTGTACAGAGATGCTCGCAAGCTGCTTCTTTTGGGTGAGCATTCATTTGACATAGACATGACTGTTGTTGCCTGAGGTGAAGCTTGCATGATTTAGTTCAAAATTAATACAGGGGTATCTGTCATAGACAAAATCATTTTTGGCATCCATTAATTAAATCCTGAAATCAATATAAGGTGCAAGAACAAGCATGTAGGCCTGTAAGCAGTGATTAATTGAGATGAATTTAGGGTAATATTGTGTAATATGTAGATAGTGTAATGATTATAATAAGGCGGTCGTGGTGTCCAGTATGTGACGGTAGTATTTTGGGCATATATTAGTATACGACAGTTATTGCAGTTTAAGTGCAGAGAGGTCAGTTTAACATATGTTTGGGTCAGTACGAGGTTGAGTTATGGAGTGTTTACAGAATACTAGTGTTACAATGTTGTGGCTTTCGACAGGACAGTTTGCAATTCCCGGGAAATGGTAGATTGTTTAGACTATCAGGGGCGAGAGGAAAATACGATTAGCCTTTTGAGATAGAGGAGTGCCAGTTTACCCGATCGAGAGGGGGGTCATTTTGATACCGGGCAGGTTCTGTAGCTAGAACCTGTTAAGGTTAGGGCGTTCAGTTAGGTAGATGGTTATAGTGGTAAGTATAAGATTGGCGGCCGTAGAATAGTGGAGCATTACGTAGTTACTATTATCAGGCTTGGTTGTGGCCGGGGTCAACAATGGTTGGTCCGACACCAGGGGATGTCTTGACAACACTGGGCTCTGGCAGAGCGAGAGTCAGCAATGGTTGACTCAGATAGGTAAAGCTAGACTAAGAGTAGGAGCCCGGGAGAAATAGTCAGCGCTGGTTGACTTAGATAGATAAAGCTAGACTAAGAATAAGAGCCCGGGAGGAATAGTCAGCAATGGTTGACTCAGATAGGTAAAGCTAGACTAAGAGTAGGAGCCCGGGAGAAATAGTCAGCGCTGGTTGACTTAGATAGATAAAGCTAGACTAAGAATAAGAGCCCGGGAGGAATAGTCAGCAATGGTTGACTCAGATAGGTAAAGCTAGAATAAGATTAGGAGCCCGGGAGAAATAGTCAGCGCTGGTTGACTTAGATAGATAAAGCTAGACTAAGAATAAGAGCCCGGGAGGAATAGTCAGCAATGGTTGACTCAGATAGGTAAAGCTAAAATAAGAATAAGAGCCCGGGAGGAATAGTCAGCACTGGTTGACTTAGATAGATAAGGCTAGAATAAGAGTAAGAGCCCGGGAGGAATAGTCAGCAATGGTTGACTCAGATAGGTAAAGCTAAGTTAAGGGCAGGATTAACGGCAGGAAGTAGGTTGCGTAATATTTGAGGCAGTATGAATCGGAGCAATTAGGAATTTGTTGCATAGCATTTGAGGCAATATGAGTCTAAGTGACTAAGCGTTGGTTGAGCAAATATTCGATTATTCATTGTTCAGTTAAGTACCTTGGGCACCTTTATTATACTCCTTGTTTGCATTCTCACCCTATTCGATAGAGGGTCATGGTTGATACCAGACTAGTGTAAGGGACCAGGACCAGTTAGGGTTGGGGCCTGGTGAGCACGGATGGAACGTGTCGTTAGAGGTTTAGAATCGACAGTGGTTGTTTCAGGGCACCTAGATTAGGCACGGTCAAGTTGCATAGTATTTGAGGCAATATGAGTCTAAGTGACTAAGCGTTGGTTGAGCAAATATTCGATTATTCATTGTTCAGTTAAGTACCTTGGGCACCTTTATTATACCCCTTGTTTGCATTCTCACCCTATTCGATAGAGGGTCATGACTCATGGTTGATACCAGACTAGTGTAAGGGACCAGGACCAGTTAGGGTTGGGGCCTGGTGAGCACGGATGGAACGTGTCGTTAGAGGTTTAGAATCGACAGTGGTTGTTTCAGGGCACCTAGATTAGGCACGGTCAAGGCGAGTTGACCGTGCTATCCGTGTTTTATGTTGCAGCACTAGATCGCTGAGCGTTTATGGGCGATACGAGTCTGGTTAATTAGGATTTGAAGTAGAGGTTGTCGAATTATTCATTGTGTTGTTTCATAGTTTAATTTTGTTTACCCTTTATTATCACGCTCGTTTCCATTGTCCAAACCCTTAATTAAATGCAAATAAACTTCGAACCGGGAAGCAAGTGTCCACTGCTTACAGGCCATTCAAGATTTATAATTTTCTGATATAATTGGAGTATTAACCCTTAAATCTTTATTAGGTACTGAAGATGTCCGAAAATGTTTTACCAATGATGTTATAAAAATTTTGTTTGAATTTTTAAACTCATTCGTTGTCTGACTGTGGGAACTATTGATTCTTGATCTGGCCATTCAAGATTCCCTCTCTCTCGCCTCCCTCCCTCCCTCCTCTCATCATATTATACAATGCAACAAAAACTAAGGGCCCACTTACCCCACTGTGCAGGGGGGGGTGCCAAATCGTCGCTTAAATGTGGGACAATTTTGAAAAACTTAACTAAAGTTCTAGCAAAATGGCACGTTTTGCTATAGAAACGCCCTTTTTTAGAGATTTTACATGCATATCCTCTAAATCACCTAATTTGTCCATTATGCTTTTCTAGTTTAAGTAGGGGAGGAGGCGCCACAAGGGGAAGCTGTTTTTAAAATTTTTAACAATTTTATCCACCAATCTTCTAAAATCACCTATTTAATTTAATTTTACCTTCTTCGGAGGTAAAGGGGCACGAAAAGGGGAGGGGGTGCTAGGTATGCAGAGGCACCATCATGAAACATAGCACCACTGCTTTTGAATGTGCTAAGTGGCTTTATCAGCCATAACTCATCACAGTATTTTGTGATTCAGATGTGTTATGTTTTATATCACATCAAATCAAATCAAATGATAATGACACAAACATCATCACATATATCGGAAACTCATAAAACTTTAAAAATCTGCATTTATAGAGAACATTTGTAGTGACATTGAACGAGGCTAAAATATAAACTGGGCCCGTTTCAAGAGGCTTAAAGAAATGAAGACAAATGGAAGCAAACTGGACGTCTTTGATATGCTTAACTTCAGCAAATTCTTCAAAGAGCTGTATAGTAAACCATCCATCATCGCAAAGAAAATAAAACAGCTACAAGATGAAATGGCCAGAGATGCCACCCAGCAAACACTCACAGAAATCCTTGACCAAGACATCAGCTACGAAGAACTGTTGGCTTGTTCTCGAACGCTCAAGAAAAGGAAGGCAGTGTCAGAAGACTTAATCCCAAACGAATTTCTTAAACTCTCTGGGAAAAATATGCAGTGCGGCGTGCGCTATACTACATATCTTCAACCAATGTTTATCACACAGAGTTTATAAACATCCGTTGAGAGGCCTCTGCACAAAAAATGGCAACATCTACGATCCCAACAACTAAAGTGCAATCGCAGTAGCTAGCAACGTGGGAAAAATGTTTGCAAGTATTCTCCTCCAGAGACTAATAAAATTATGTGCTGAGACAAACCCTGACACCCCAATCATCTGGGGTTTTGCAAAAACGCGCAAACGGCATATCATATAAGGACATTGTCGACTTGCATAGAAAATATGTAAAAGCTAACAAAGGCAGATTGTTCTCCTGTTTTGTAGACTACGCCAACGCGTTTGATACAGTTTGCTAGGAGGCACTCTTGAACAAACTTTGGAAACTAGACATCAAATATAGGAACTAGACATCAAATAAAAGGAAGATTCTTTGGTTGCATGGAGTTCATGTACACAAACTCCAAAGCAAAAATCAAGCTCTTGAACAAGCTCTCTGAAAAGATGTTCCCTTCTTGATGCTCCCTTTTCTCTTGCTTGGTTTAAGTGGTTCTTAAAAAGAAGATATGACCCATTATAAAGCATCTTAAACCTTTGGGATAGAAACTCT